AACAGTGATTGCTAGAGCCTTTATATGTATATTTGTCAGGGATGCAATGAAGAACATGCATGTAGCACAACAATTTTTTACAGCTCTTCGGTAAGAGCTTGGAGTCCACATCTATGAGGCCTATTAAGGGGAGCGTTAATAAGTTACTAAAGGTGAACCTCCATAAGTTTTCTGTCAGGTTAACTTTGTCGATGAAGTAGCCTTCCCAAAGTAACATCCTCTAGTTTTTCTCTCTCACATCCCCTCCCACTGATATATTCTCCACCATACTTATAGTTGTGAAAATCCACAATCACAAACCCTAGCTTTCAAGCACCCAATGCCAGTTACAAAAAGAGGTTTTCACCTATATACCACCCAAAGCATACACATGCGCATATTTACCCTCTCATTCTACCACAATAAGTTAAAACAACCCCTGGGAACCTAACCTTGTTAGCTTTTTTAACAAAATATTCAGCTAAACATTCGGAATATCCTGGAACTATTCCTTAACATTACCTTTCAAGGGTATTTTTGTGATTGTGGGGGCCACATAGCAGGACACCCACGTGAAACCACGTGAATGATGAGGGGATATCTTTCCGCGTGAAGGCTTTGGCACGAACTTTAGCAGGCCCACCCGGTGATTTAGCTGCTATAAATACCCTATTAATCTAGGGTTTTGGTGAGCAAGTTGAGGGGGTTCTTTTGTTTCGGCTGCAGGAGAAAAGAAAGAGCAGCGAAGGAGGAGTGCATGTTGAGGGCGTTCTTTTGGCGGCAGCAATAGAAAAAGGCAAAGCTTGGAGGCGTGTGCAAGGGCAGCGGCTGAATTGTTTTGTGCGGGGTTTTCTTTTGGCTGCTGCAGACAGAGAACAAAAGCTACAGGGATTTTGGCGGCTGACTGAGAGGAGAAGAAGCAAAGTCTTTTTGTAGTAGTTCTTTGTTTTGTGCATCCCCTTTTAAGAGAGATAATTGTATGAGGGATCTGAGAGTTTGTGTGAGGGTTTAGATTGTGAGATTGTAAACCCAAGTTGTATCTCTCCCTCTAATAGTAGATCTCCCCCCTCCTTGCCCCGTGGACGTAGGCAGTTTGCCGAACCACGTAAAATTTGTGTTCTTGCCATGATTTGTAATAGCTTGTAGGATCCCTCGACAGGTCAGTCCTAGAACTGATGAGAGGAAGAGCCGATATCTCACTTGGTTGAGATATCCGCTTCAGATTCTTGTCTCCTTGGTGAGACGGGAATTCTTATTATCGATCTTTCTTTCTTATTGTGCACCAGAAACTCTGCCGAAATTTCCGCTGCGCACAACAAGTGGTATCAGAGCCCAGATTCCAGATCTAGGGTTTGGTTGGAGGAGTAGATCAATTTGGAGGCTCGTTTAGGGCTTCGTTGGTGATAAAGGTGGGATCTTTTGGTAAAGACTCTATCTTTGTGATCTAATCTCTTGTTGTGCACCCTGCGCACCGGAGGTGCTGCCGAGATTTTCCGCTACGCACAACAAGTGGTATCAGAGCTCCGGGTTGGACTTGGGAGCTTGTTTGAAGGATTCGCTGAAGGATTCTTATTTGAAGGGTTAGATCGACAATATGGGTGAAGCAAGCACATCGGGATCGTCTCTTACGAAGACGATACATAGTTTGAGCATCAATAACATGAAGATTGATGTTCCGAAGTTCGACGGCAAGATTAATTTCGGATCCAGCTATACTTCATAACTCAGACGATCCACTAAGATCATGATTCAGTGTCTAATTAGGGAAGTAATTAGTTGAATCACTATATCCAGCTATACTTCATAACTCAGACGATCCACTAAGATCATGATTCAGTGTCTAATTAGGGAAGTAATTAGTTGAATCACTATATCCAGCTATACTTCATAACTCAGACGATCCACTAAGATCATGATTCAGTGTCTAATTGGGGTTTGGTCATGATCTGTTCTACAGCCATCAGATGCGGATCATGGAAGAACTACTGTTAGTTACAAGGAGGTGACCTCAGCGTTGGTGAATTATGAGTTGAGGAAGAGTGTTGATGAGTCCTCCGAGAAGGCATCGGGAGATGCATTAGTAGTTCAAGGTCGTGGTTCAAACCGAAGTAGGAGGTCGCGGTCTAGAGGTGCACATCGTGGGATTCGTAGGAATCAGTGTGCTTTTTGTAAAGAGGATGAACATTAGAAAGCTGAATGCCCAAAGTTAGATTGACCTGAGAAGAATAAGGGGAAAGCTGTACAAGCTTCAGAGGTGAATGTTGTCAAGACTAGTGGCAACGATTCAGATTCGGATTCTTCGGGCTATTCGTTGTCTGCACTACCGTCAGTTTGTGTTGCCAACTCTACAGAATGGATGTTGGATTCGGGTGCTTCATACCATGTTTGCCCTAGGAGGGATTGGTTCTCCAGCTTTCAGAAGTTGGAAAGAGAGGATGTTGTGCTCATGGGTAATGGACATGCATGCTCTATTGGTGGTATTGGTACCGTTCGTATTCGGATGTATGACGGAGTGATTCAGGAGTTGGAAGGAGTGAGGTTCGTTCCGCAGTTGTCGAAGAATATCATTTCACTAGGAGCTTTGGTGGCATCTGGCTATAAAGTGACCTTGGTGGATGCACGTTTGAAGGTCACATTGGGGTCCATGATTGTGATGAAGGGCGTCAGAAGGAGCAATTTGTATTATTTGCTCGGAAGCACGGCGATTGATAGGGAGATGACGACTTCATCAGATTCGGCTAGACTGTGGCGTTGTTTGATGCTGGGTTATTTGATTGGTAATACCGTGCATAGGTTGTTGAGGAGTGCTATGACCTGCAGTTTGAAGTCCTGTGAACCCATTGGTATGAGCAAGAAGACCGGGGTGGAGTTTGGCACTTCTATCCATCATTCGAGGGGTCTTCTGAGGGGTGTTTATTCAGGCATTCGGGGGCCTTCTAAGGGAGCATTATTAGGAGGTAATAGGTATGTGGTTTCCGCAGTTGGGGCTTGCTCTAGGCATTGGTGGGTTGCAACCAAGTCCCGTTGGTGTGAAGTCCTAGAAGCCCGCAACAAATTGAGGAAGTGTATTGGCAGAAAGGTGAAGGTACTTCAGTCTGATGTTAGAGGGAGGTACAAGAGGGACCTATATCTGCATTTGTGCCGAGCTCACGGCAATAGGAGACACTTCATTGGTGTGGAAACTTTGAGGCGACGTGATGAGATGGCAGATTTGGGAAGCTGTTCCTTTCTGAAGGAGGATCGGCGTTTGATGTCTAGCATTGGCATTGGTGTGTAGGCTACGACATGTTTGGACCGTCTCATGTATAGGTTGCCGACTGCTGCATGTAGAGATTTTGGATCTGGTGGAGCTGCTTCAGATTTTGGGTTGCGTCGGATGTTAGGCTACCCAGCACTTGGTCACATCGTGGATGTGAGATTTGATCCGATAGCACATTTGGGATTCAGAGGCGTGTTTGATTATCAGGTATTGGCTTCTGATTTTGTTCTGAGCAGGTATGTCACATTTAACTCTCGGCAGGGGGAGAGTGGTGATCAGATCTTTGGGACATCGCAGCGGGGGGGGGGTGATGCTACTCCACGTTGGGTGGAAACTCCAGATCATACTGCATCATTTGGGATTCCAGCTGATGTGACACAGATTGGGAATCGTGTTGATTTGGATGCAGATGATAGGTTGATTGATTCGAGTGATTCCAGCTGAGGTGACACAGATTGGGGATCATTTGGATTTGGATGCAGATGATGAGTTGGATTCGATTGCAGCTGATGGACTTAATTTGGATACGGCCATTGGTTCACCTCAGATGGAGGTGTTTGATTTGTCTCAATTTGGAGCTATTGGGAGTGCTATCAATTGCAGATCGTTTGGTGATATTGAAGAAGAGTTGCAGACTTTTCTATTTGTTTGAGGGCCTTTGGAGGCCATTTGGGTGAACTACGTGAAGGCTTGATTCCTTGGGCAAGAGGAAGTGTTCGCACTCCCGTTTGGGTCTCGACCTGTTGTGGATGGAGTCTGTTGTCATGAGTCCGTTGCCATGGCGTACTGGATGCAACAAGTGAGACATTTGATATGATCGGTGTCGGCTCAGTTTTGAGAAAACTTCACCGAGGTGGAGAATTGTGATTGTGGGGGCCACATAGCAGGACACCCACGTGAAACCACGTGAATGATGAGGGGATATCTTTTCGCGTGAAGGCTTTGGCACGAACTTTAGCAGGCCCACCCGGTGATTTAGCTGCTATAAATACCCTATTAATCTAGGGTTTTACGAACGCGTTATACCTGAGAACCCCTGTGAGCAGCCGATAGGTTACTCCGACTGCAACGTCGATGAGTTGTACTATCGGGCTGGGGGTGCGAATGAGTCTCAAAAGAAAAATACCCGGGAAGCGAATTCTCACTGTCCGTGTACCAAACTTATCAGGGCAGTATTATCAGCCTGTAGCTGCCCCAAGTTGTATCTCTCCCTCTAATAGTAGATCTCCCCCCTCCTTGCCCCGTGGACGTAGGCAGTTTGCCGAACCACGTAAAATTTGTGTTCTTGCCATGATTTGTAATAGCTTGTAGGATCCCTCGACGCGCAGTCCTAGAGCTGACGAGAGGACCCTCGACGCGCAGTCCTAGAGCTGACGAGAGGAAGAGCTGATATCTCACTTTGATGAGATATCTGGCTTTTGGTTCTTGTTTCCTTTGAGAAGCAAGAATTTCATTGTGATCTAATCTCTTGTTGTGCACCTTGCGCACCGGAGGTGCTGCCGAGATTTTCCGCTGCGCACAACCCTTGCGCACCGGAGGTGCTGCCGAGATTTTCCGCTGCGCACAACAATTTTAACTCGATGCAGGAGATTTGGGGGATAAATTAGCAAAAATCCAGATTTGAGCCAAAAGTTTGCAAATGTAGTTGATTTCATTTCGAGGTTATATCGGTAAAAAGAACTTACACAAAATGCAACATTTATCGCATTTCTAAATATTAGAATCATAAGACCAATTTCATGACCAAAACAACCACAGATTTTACCTTCTTCTCATTGGAAATGAGAGACTGAAGATTCTGGGTGCAGTCATTGTCGTAGGTGACCTGATCCAGCTCCAGCTCGTCCTCATCTATCAAACAACCATCAGAAGAAGTGGTGACTGGACCTGAAACTAGGGTTTTTCTTGGTTAAAAACAATTACCTGAGAGGATCTCGCCCGAATCTCGATTCCCCTGACAACACAAGAGATATCGTTAGGTTTAAAGCCGAATCGATGGAGATGAAGCTTAAGGGGGGTGGGCGTTTTTGTTATTCTCACCGGTGGAATTTTTTGCCGCCACATTTTGGAAGTCAGAAATGAAGAAGGCGGAGCAAATTGCAATTGTGGGTTTAAGAATGTAGGGAATGATTTCGGGTTCGAAGCAGATTCGAGGCAAAAGAAGAAGTTTAAGGGGTGAGAGTTTTCTTATTCTCACCGGTCGAGTTTTTTCCGCCACCTTGCAAGTTGGAAATGAAGAAGAAGGCTTAGAGATCTAGGAAATATTAAACGGGTTTTCTATAGAGTGCCCATGGACACTCTATAAGAGAGGAGAAAGATAGAGAGAAATGAATGAGGAGGGGATCCCAATGTAAATTAGGAGGCCCTCCTCTTCATTCATTTTTCTCCATCTCTCTCATCTCTTATAGAATGCTCATGTGCATTCTATAGAAAAACCGTTTATTAAATACGCAGCCGAAAATCTTGTTGAAGGCAACGCACCGGGAGGTTAGTGGACCATTGGGAACGTTAGTTGGGTTTGTAGGCTAACTTTGACCGGCTCGTGGGCTAAGAATTCGAAGATGAGCCCATTTAAGGAAAGGGAAGTAAACAGCTACACTTGGCAGACACCGTAAAGATGTGAGGTTTTCATCGAAAACTAGTTCGATTTCTTGCTCACTACTGAATTATTTTTATTTTCCTTTATTCGTGACTCTTCAAGGACAAAGTTCTGCTGATCGTATGTTTTTTCTTCAGTTTAATTTAATTGAGAATAATTGTTTGATATTAAACCCCATGCATTGTATGAGGTAAAAACTTACTTATTAATTGATGCTATCCAACATATTTTTTTGTAGAAATCAGAAGTTCAACCATTGATACTTACTCATACACGTGTACTCTTCAACGTTTACGATGTTTTGGTTATTTTAGATAATTACATTTTAGACCTACCACTTACTAGAAAATCAAGTAGTTTTATAAAAATACATAACATCGAGCTAACAAGATACTATAATGTGCTTGTAGGTATTTGGATCGGAGATGAACTAGGGTTCTTCGAGCATTGATATTATGGTGGTATGCATCATGATTGCTGTTTTGGGACTTGGTCAAATCTTTCTTTCTATAGAAGATTGACTTTGATTAGAAAGATTATGTTTGGTTTTTGTAGAGATTATGTTAGACCTCTATAGGAAAATGAGAATGTTTGCACGGTGGTAGGACAACTTGAGTAAGTTGTCATAGTTCTAACATAGAAATGATTATTATGGTCTAAATTCAAATTGATGACAAAAATGAAGAATATTGCATTGTTGGAAAATATTGAGCAAAACTCAATTCTTTGCTCTTATTTTTATTTTATTAGTAATAACTATTGAGTATATTTTAAGAATAATAACGTAATCATAAAAATCACTCCTTACAACTAACTGTAATGGAAAACGTGCAAAAAGGCCAAGGAATTCAAACCACCTCAATGAGATTATAATATTTAAAACAAATAATATCATAATATTAAATTTTATAATAAATATTTTATATATCAATTAGTAAATATTAGTATATAATAATAATAATAATACTATTATTATTATTATTATAGTAAAAATATTATTTTCCTGTTGTAAACAATATATTAAAAATGTTTTCAATATGATACTAAATAACTAACGTTTTATATACATATATTGTAAACATGATATAATAATAATAATTACACACACATATTAATTAAATAATAATATTGTAATATAATATTATAATGTTTTAAATAATTTTTATTAAAGCTTAAAACTATATGTAAATTTAATATTATTTAATATTAAAAAATATGTATTTATTTTCCTCATTTTACTGTCCAAAAACACTTCATAAAATGAAATATGTTTATGTGCAACACATGTATACTATACTAAAACATACATCATGTTCACCTATGTACTATACTATAACACGCTATTACAAAAAAATGTAATGATATCCATTTATTTATAACCATAACATACATCACTCGCAACTAGGGGTGTCCAAAAAGCCCGGAGCCCGGGCCCGGCCCGATCGTGCCCGGGCCCGGCCCGGGCCCGGAAACCCGGGCAAAACCCGGGTCCGGGCCCGGGCCCGGGTCGCCGTTGGCGAGCCCGCCCCTTAAAACGGTCAAAAAACGGCTAAAAATCGAGGGTTTTTTGGTCATTTACCTAGGGGCTGCTTCTATAAATAGAGGGGGGGGTTCAATTCATTTTCTCACAACAAAACTCATCTATTTCTCTCTCTACTACTCTCTTATACAATCTTATACTATCTCATACTAATATAATATCCTATAATCTTTTGTATAAATAGAGGGGGGGTTTCAATTCATTTCCTCACAACAAAACTCATATATTTCTCTCTCTACTACTCTCTTATACAATCTTATACTATCTCATACTAATATAATATCCTACTCTCTACTACTCTCTTATACAATCTTATACTCATCTATTTCTCTCTCTACTACTCTCTTATACAATCTTATACTATCTCATACTAATATAATATCCTATAATCTTTTGTATTTTCTAATACTTCCAACAAATGGCTTCTGGGTCTGATTATGAAGAGCAACATGCATCTCCTACCGATCCAGAGATGAGTCCTCCTACAACAACTCCTCATCCTACCGGTGTTAATCCTGAATCTGGTGGCGACGAATCTACGGCACCAAGAGCTCCAAAAAGACCGAGGTCTGATGTATGGAATTTTTTTGAGAAGATAGACGTCACCAAGGATGAACACGGTAGGATCATCTCTCAGAATGCGAAATGTGCGTTGTGCGGCCAGATATTCAAAGCTCATCATAAGAGCGGCACCAACCATCTCAAACGGCATATTGAAAAACACAACAAAGGCCAAAATCTACAATGTGATATCCGGCAGTCTATGCTTTCCTAATCATCCTCTTCAGGTACCCTCGGCAGTTGGAATTATGACGCTGCCCGAGCCCGAAAATGCGTAATCAGGTTTATTGTTCTTAAAAACCTTCCTTTTAAATTAGTAGAAGATGATGAATTTGAAGATTTGTTTAGAGATGGTTTTTATCCTGCATTTACAAAATTTTCTCGTCAAACCTGTCAACGTGATATTTTAAAATATTATGTTGAGGAACAGGGAAAAATAATTTCTTATTTTAAAAATTTAAACTGCAAATTTTCTTTAACTTCTGATATTTGGTCATCTAGAGTGCAAACTGGTTATTTATGTATAACAGCACACTGGATTGATGAAAGTTGGAAAATGTTTAAAAGAGTTGTTTCTTTTATTGCAATTGAAGAGTCACACACTGGTATTAATGTTGCAAATTTAATTGTTGAAGAACTTATGAAACTAGAAATTGATCAAAGAATATTTACTCTTTCACTAGATAATGCAAGTAATAATAATGTAGCTGTTGATTTTCTGAAAATAACTTTGTCATTGCCATGTCATGGTGAGCTTTTTCATGTTAGATGTATCTGTCATATTTTAAATTTAATTGTTCAAAGTGCATTTTCTGAAATTAAACCCATGATAGAAAAAGTTAGAACAGTTACTAATATGCATAATGCTTCTGAAATGAGAATTAAAAGATGGAAACAATGTTGTAAAAGAAAAAATTATAAGCCTAGACTAATTCCAAAAGATGTTGACCATAGGTGGAATTCCACCTATGCAATGTTATCTGTAGCAATAGAATATAAAGAAATTATAAATGATTTTATAAATTTTTATGCTTCTAGTTCTAGCTCTGGTAGTGCTTATGGAATAACTGAAGATGAATGGACAGTTATATGTAAATTAAATGAGATGTTACAAGTTTTTTATGATGCTACTATGTTATTATCTGGTTGTTATTATCCAACTATTACTTTAGCTGCTTTACAAATTTTAAATATTCAAAAAAATTTTACAAAATATCGTATGGATGATATTTTTGGAAGTATAATTTTTGAAATGGAGAGTAAATTTAATAAGTATTTTAGGCCTATTCCTCATATTTTTGGTATTGGTGTTCTTATTGATCCATGCTTGAAGGAAATTGGCCTTCGAAGTTTGTTACAATCATTGTATGGTGGACAGATTATAGACTTAGATGATGGATCCACCCTTACTGCTACTACTCATTATTTAGCTATTAGAAATTATTTTCAAACCTTATATGATGAGTATGCAGCTAGATATGGTGTAGCTACACAACAGTCTTCAGCTTCGGCACCTTCAGCTTCGAGCACAGGTCGAGGTAAAAGTGTAAGTTTTGATAGGTATGCAATGGTAGCTGAACTAACTGGTGGATCTGGAACTTCATCAGGATTAGATGTTTCTGAAATAGATGAATATTTTTCTGCTTCTTTAGTTAGATGTCAAGGAAATGCTTTAGATATTTTGCAATGGTGGAAAGTATATGGATCAGTTTCATATCCTATACTTTCCACCATGGTTCGTGACTTACTATCAGTGCAGGTTTCGACTGTAGCCTCGGAATCCGCTTTCAGCACAGCAGGACGTTTGATCGACGACCACAGGACATGCTTAGATCCGTATACTGTACAAGCGGTGATGTGCTTACAGGATTGGTGGAGATACGAGAAGCGAACACAAGGCATCGAACGGATTGCTATGATTGAAGATAAATTTGAAGAGTTGGGACTAGCAGATAGATATAATGATTAGATAATATTCATAAAATTGTAATTTTTATTTCTTAGCTTTAAATTTGAATTAAATTATTTCGAAAAAAGTTGCAAATGATAGTGATATGGGTGAGTAGGTGCCAACCTAGTTGGGATGTACTCATCTATTGTGATGCGACGAATTTCGAAATAAATTTATACTTGTAAAGGATTTACCGATTATTAATAAAGAAGTTATTTTTATCATTTTTTGTACTTGTAATTTATGTCATTTCATTTCAAGTTATTAATTAAATTTATGACATTTTTTATAATAATTTATGATTTATGGTTTTGTTAAAATAATTTATGATTTATGGTTTTGTTAAAATAATTTATGATTTATGGTTTTGTTAAAATAATTCCCGGGCCCGGGTCCGGGCTTGGGTTTTGTCCGGCCCGGGCCCGGTTTCCCGGGCCGGCCCGGGCCGGCCCGGATGGACAGCCCTACTCGCAACCCATGTCTTGGATACAAGTTAATCAAAAGCAAACAGTCATGGCGGATATAGGAGAAGAAATAATCAACAGAAATAGGCATAGAGAAAAAAGAAGCATATGAATAATTAAGCCACTTGCTACTAACATCTGATATTAGATAAACAGCACACGTGTGACATGAACTCTATACTTTCAGTTCCTTTCTTACAGAATCACAGTAGTACCTCATAAATAACCACCAAAGGAAGTGAAAAAAAAGAAGAGAAAAGAAATAAAAATTAACAAGGATTCATTCCCGGTAAACCTCATCAGCATCTAAACAGAGGGATTACTATCTCCCAAGAGCCTCCTTGTAAACCGATAAACCTGCGAGTAAAAAAGCTATTAATTCAAGATGACGGATTTAAATATCACTGGCTTATGTTAAGCAGTCTTTTAAATATGTAACAATGATTTCCAAGCCTGATCTATATTATATCCTTACAATTTCAATGAAAGCATCTACCGCAGATTTTGCATGTTGACAGAACACTGATCTGCCTAAACATGTTGTCCTAAAATTACATGTGCAACTGAAGAAACTCAGCAGTTGTCATCATAAAAACACCATATCAGCTGATATTGGTAGCCAAAATTGGCAAGTTAACAAAAGCGATGATATGCGCTGGTACGCCCATTAGACATGCCTGCACGCTAGAAACTTTGACGCGTAGCAGCTCCTCAAACTCTTACACAAGTGCACAGTGATTTTAACACATTGAGAGTGCAATTCAAACTTGAGCTATATATGACCAGCTTTCATAATGTGCAACATCTACCATGTTATGCAGAGGTGCATATCTGACAGGCGTCAAGTACTTTACCTATACCACAGGTTTTACCTTGTTAAAATGCAACATACATGCGTATCATTGCATTTCTCATAACTTTCTTTGAATTAGGTAATGAACACAAGAACACGGGTATCAACTTTCCTAGAGAAGCTTGGCCACTCAGCAAGGCGGGAGGAAAACGTATGAAGTTTATAACTTCATACTAATCTTTGTAATATTTCGGTTAACTTTGACTCATGAGTACAAGTAAAATTTTGTAAGGTGCTTGAGGTCATTTGTATTAGTTTCTCTTACGACACATCCAATTCACCCACCTCGATTATACAGTAATTGGTTCCAGATCACATATTTGCTACGGATTCTTAGCAACCATGGCAGATAATGATCTTTTAAAGTTTTACATGGGACTTCAGTAGCCCAGACCCCACCATCTACTCTTCTTTCACTAATGATGTGCATGCTTTGAATATGAATTTGCCCAAAAATGCACTGCTGATCATTAAACCACATCTTCAGCATGTAACAGAGTATGCAATAATCATTAAGTTTAAATCTTCGTTGCTGCACTTCATCGTAAGCCTATCATCTTTTACCTAAGGATTCAGTATGTTCATTATCGCAGTTTTCAAGCAAGGTTCAAAATATAAGTTGTCGGCCTCAGTTCTTTGACAGCCTCCATTTTGTATCAGTATCGGGAGATTCCACGGTCTCAGAAGTTATGAATTGAAGTTATTGGCACATGGAGTAAATTAATTAGATTTTCTTTTTTACTTTACCCCAAGATAACAATAACAGATATTGGTAGCAAAGTTTAAACCAAATCTCTTCCTCTTTTAGTCATTATTATGGAACAAACCCTTGGCTTAGAAACGAGTCCANGGGGGGTTCAGTATCATGGATGAGCAAATAAAGACAAATTTTTTACCCAATAAATTATCTTTGAGTTTAGTTTATTTCGAAAAAGATTGTCCTACGTAAATTTAAATATATAAAGAATACTATATAACTCAATTCAACTATTCTAACAAATAGAGAAAGTTAAATTTAAAAGGCCCTTGCAATGCACCTTAAATCATTAACATTGGTACTAGGTACCCACTGTACTTTTTCTAAATTTACACAACTTAACCCTTCCAATCAACAGTAAGCACCACAAGATATAAATAAAATTGCATGATCTCATAGAAAATTCAATAAGTTCAGGGACTATTTTCAAAATATTAAAGAATGAAGACACTAATATCACAAAGGCCATTTAAAATATAATATTTGCAAGGTTTGTTTTCCCTTTTTGTTGGAAAAAACATGTTGCTTAGCATATCCAAACAAAGTCATGAGAAGTGTGTCCCGATGCATTTGAAGATGATGTTGGCCTGAGTTCAGAAGGACATATAAAGTTACTATTATATCATGAATGAAAGATTAACTGTCATAAGTTCTTTTCAAATTGGCCGAAGGGGAGGGGGGGGGGGGCACGCCCTGACCTGCCCATTTAGAATCAATCTCGCCTTGGCCTATTTCTTTTATCACGATATAAGACCAAGGCCCATGTATAGGATCATAGGTTTTGATGTCATGCTTGTAGAACAAATCCAAACTCCCAGACAAATCCTACAAAAACAGCTATTTTAGGGATGGCCCGCCATTAAGAATGTCTATATTGTTTATGTTTACCATCAAAACCATCAATTATGGATTTTTTCAATGCAAATCAGGAAGGTGAAACAATCAAAAACTTCACACTCCAAGTAATGGTCACGAGTTTAATTGCCACCATTCATCCAAGGGGATTTTTATTCATAACTGATTAATGTGAATTGAAGGCGCACCACTCACTGATGGATTACAGGATTAGGTGGGTGTTCTTAAACGCTCAGACACCCTCACTAGCAAAAAAGAGAGAATGTAGAGTTTTGCCTACAATATTCCAACATATGGTAAATAATAATTCCTTGTGCACTTAGTATTTCTGTGTACAATGCAATGCGTCATGTTTCTCCATCCTGTCACGTAATAATTAACAAATTATTGAACTGGTATAATCCACTAGAAGAGGCTTGTTAATGGAAATGTAAGAAAATTTGTATCCTGATTTAAGAAAATTTGTATCCTAATAAATCAGTTCAACTATCAAAAAAACATTGAAGTTTTTGGGAAATGCCCTAATCAAACAGTACTGTAAGATTTTAGGGCGTATTTGACAAAGACCTACCTGTACCAATAACCGTCTGCTGAACACATATACAACTGTACGTTAGCGTCATTGTGCTAAGCTCCTAAAATTTGCATTTCGTTGGACGGTGATCCCAGCATTTTGATGGTGGTTGATTTTCCATCTTGAGCTTTATTATCAGTTTTATAACCTGTCATATCTGATGCTTAAAAGTGCATACTGGCATAAGAAAGCTCCTAAGTCCTGGGAACTCCCATAAGAAAACAGTACGATTGACCTGTTTGATAAGGACACGCTGACAACAACACTAGACAGTAATTAATTTAAGTTTTTCAAGGGAAGACACAGACGAGGGAGGCTCCCTCCCTCCCTCCCTCAACACGCATATAGAGATCACGAAGGATGTTTTTTTACAAATTTATAAGTGTGTATCATTTGAACGTCCATACTTTCGTCAGGAAAATGAATTTAAGCATGGCCTAAGAACTAAATATTTCTTCAAAATATTCAAATTCTGTCCTCATGGTGTACATATCATCAAGATATTAGATCAATTGAAGAGCAACATGAGAACAAGCCAGAGAGATATGAACAAGTCAATTAAGCTTTCCACAATCCATTGGAACTCTTTCAAAAAAAACAAGAAAATAATCTAAAAGACTAGCTTCTGAAACAGGTATATCACTAGCTATAAATGCGGATATGAACTATTTCTATAACAGATTCCTGTTTAAAACTTCATTCAAGAAACAAATCATAGCCTAATGAATCATTTCAAGCATAGTTATTTATCTGTTTTCATTCCATGGTTTGTCAGAACACGTCAGAACAATTATAAAAAAAATAAAGTTAGAATAGATTCATAAAATTTAGCGGAAGTAGCAGACCAATGAGTTATAAACATAACCAGGTAGTAATAACAGAGTACAAAGGCTAAAAGAAGCAGAAATTTCGATGCTGACCTACAATCTTCAAGCATCAGATTCTGAACTCTGAACTTGCTGTCTCCTCAGCTCCTCATCGGCCCTCTTCAAGAACTGATCCCATCCGCTCCCTTCTCCAGTATCCAGATAATCATATGGCACTGCTGTCTTCAACCCAGGTCTCACCCCCATCTGACTCTCCACAATCCTAAAATCCACGCCCTCCACCCCAAACCCATCAGTCTCCAACTCCTCCCATCCAAACAACAATGGCAATGTAAATGCTCCCCAAGGATTAAAATCCAAAACCTTAACCCTACCATCCCCCGTCACATAAACATCAAACGTGTAATTCTCCGACTCAAACCTCGGCTTTACAATCTTCAAAAAGAAAGACTCAATCAAGGGTTGGATCTCATGATTACAATCAAGCAGGACAGGATAAAAGGAAGTGATTTCACGCTGAGAGATCGCAACAAGTTCTCGATGACGAGCAAAGCAGCGAAACTCCATTTCTGGGCGCATAGATGAGTAATATTTGCGGAGGGCAAGGGTAAAGGAGTTAAGAGCAGGATGAGAGAGGTCGTGGGCAATTGAGTCAGAAGATTTGAGAAGGAGAACAATGTCAGCAAAGGAAGTGCAGCGGAGAGTGCCATCGGCTGAGATCCAAGCAGCATCCTTCGGAGCACTCCAATTTAGCTTCGGGAAGACTGAGCCGCCGAGGGTGGTGATAGAGTGGACAATGTCGGATTCAAGGTCAGGAAATGAAGGTTGGTCATCATTATTATCGTCTTCTTCATCATCAGACTCTGAGTCGAAAAGTGAGAGAGAGGAGACAGGATCAAGACGAGAACCATTGGTGCGTGGAAGAGGATCACGGCCAGAGATGGATTTTGGGAGGAGGAAAGGTGGTGCAGTTGTAGTGGTGTCATCGGCATCATCATTGTTGTCATTGGAGGCTGAAATAGGTTGTCCAAGTATGTAGCGGACGAAGGAGTCGGGGAGAGAATGAAAAATGGTTTGAATGGAGTGGGGTTTGAACTTTGGGTACCATTCATGAATCTGGCATCTCCTCAGCTCTTCCTCCATGCACTTTGTAAGAACAGAGACCTGAACCATTAACAAAATAGATTTCAGCAGGTATCCATTAATATTAAACTTCCAGTAATAAAAAGTCCAGTTTACTGATATGGTAATTGCGCAAAAAGCGACTATGAATTGGTTACCTAGTAAGCTCAACAATTAAAATTAATGTTTCTGTTAGACAGGTAGAAGACATATAATTAGAAATACTCAAAACACAAGACAAAAACATAATTAGACATACTCAAAGACAACCAGTTGACCTGAACAAGATTGACCAAAGATCACACCACTCACACACCGCTGAAAATCGTTTTTTAAGGTGTAATGAGGAGTGGTAGTTTGCGGAGAATGGAGAAACAAAACAGCAAAGTTCTAATGCAAGTACTCCTATTTACATAAACAGGTTAATCCCTTATATAAAACTACTTGGCACAAAAACAATGGTTTTATCCCAATTTTTTGGGGTTCAATACTATTCTTCCATTCAGCTCTTTTAAGAGTTATCTCATTCATTAAGTTAATAATTACCGTATCTTAACATAAGATTGACTGGCGGATAATTAAAAAAAATTAGCTCCTTTAAAGTTCTATAGTTTGATATTTCGACCGGTTTGGTGTGAATGGACTATGTAATTTAGTAACACAAGATGTCATTTGTCGTAGTTTGATATTTAGTCGTTGCGGATAACTTGGATAGTATCCCAATCTGATGTCCGATAGATGGTATTGCATACTCCATACTTGTCAAGTTAAATCATAGGGACGCCATACAAATAAGTCTAAAGAGCATTTCATCAAACACTTAGCAAGCAACACCTATTTAAAGATCGCGTGTGTCGATTTTGATACCTTAGCGTCGTTGCAAGTGTTGGCAAACTCGACAATTGCCTTGGCTGATCAAAGCAATCAAAATCGAGCCTCTGAATTTTTTTCGTAATAATAATAATATTAATATTAATATTAATATTAATATTAATATTAACATAATAAGAGAGAGAGGAGTGGGGATTAGGGTTAGGGGTTACCTCCGATGAGTAGTCAGCGTCAAGAGAAGATGGAGATCGAGAGAGGGCTAGACTGATAGAAGAAGGCGATCAAGAAAACACACCCCGAACTTAAGAGCAGAGAGAGATAACCCCTTAGGGTTTTGCACATAACCCCCTGACACTTCTTTTTATTCCACTGAATTTCTTGAATACCTCGCACTTTAGCCCCTAACATAATGTTCTCAGGTTGGATGAAAATACCCGCTTTAAGGAAACCACTCTTTTTCTTTTGGGAAAAATGTGTTCAGGCCCCAAAAGCAGAAACTTCATGTGACAAGGCTCCTCATAGTTTTTCCCATGTGGATCAGCCCCTTGAAGTGTGACACTTTGTACTGCAGCCCCTTTTTCTTAATTATCGCATGCCAGCTAAGCTAAAATTCCCAAATTATCCTTATCCTCTCTCCTCAATCTCTTTGACCCAGCACTCATATCATCTCTCTCTCTCTCTCTCTCATCTCCTCTCTCTCTCTCTCTCTCTCTCTCTCTCTCTCTCTCTCTCTCTCTCTCACACACACACACACACACACCTCTCTCTAAAACTAAGAGCTTTCTCAAGCTCGTCGTCCTGGCTGAGACGCACTGAGCATTAATCTATTAGCTAGAAGAAGAAAAGAAAAAAAAGGAAAAAAGAAAAAAAGAAAAAAGAAAGGTAAGGAGAAGTAGAGTAGAAGGGGAATGAAGAGAAATGCCGTAATTAAGAAAGAACGAAAATGTGTATTAATGTATCTCTATGAATAAAATTGTCACGGTGCCGCCGAGCGATATTCGAAGCAATATAACGAGAGGTAGAAAATGAGCTCAAATGAAAGGAGATACCGTGTGATAGACAATATAAAGGGCTACACACCGGCGCAGACGGTAGTGAAAACGGAGATCGGAGGTGGCCGTAAAACACTCGCGAAGTCATCACGGCGCTGTTGTTTTCTGCTCGCTGCTGCCGTCGAGCAATGTTTCGGATGTTACCGAAAGAGATAGAGAATGAGTTAGAGTGTGATACAAATTGGAGGTGATAGGCAACATGTAGGGCTACTCACCAAAGAAGAAATCGGCGGAAACGGAGATTGGAGGTGATCAGAAAGTGCGTGCGAAGTCGGCACAAAACTATAGTTTTCTGCAATGCAATTTCTCGCCGTTCGGGTTTGTTCTTCGCTGTTCGGAGATTTTTGCCGCTGTCCGGGCTTACCGGAGGTAGGAGGAGGTTGCCAGGGTCGTCGGGGTGTCTCGGTGGGCTTCGTCGGAGGTAGGAGGAGCTTTTCTCCGTTCCCAAGAGCTTAGAACTAAGATGAATTAGAGCTAGAATTAGCTAGAACTAGCAAAATAGAACCTAGAACTGTGGGTATACAAGCTAGAACTAGGGTAATAGAAGGTAGAGCTAACGTAGAAGAAAGAACTAGCAAGTGTGCATGTAAAAAACCCTTGTTGGGTTTAGAACTAGCAAGATAGAAGCTAGAACTGGGGGTATACAAGCTAGAACTAGGGGAATAGAAGCTAGAACTAACATAGAAGAAAGAACTAGCAAGTGTGCTGTTCGCGGGAAAAATCGTAGCTTTCTTCATTGTTGATATCATTGCTATCTCAGTTAACAACTTTATGCGTTACAAAGATCCGGTCTTTTTATAAGATCCGGTTACAATGAAAAATCAAAGAAAACAAAGTAAAGATTACAATTTTTTCCTTTTGTGTCGAACGAATCGCGAGCTCCTGTTTTGCGGTCACTCGCTTTGTGTGGGTTCTTTGCCTGCGCCGGGGTTATTTGCCGTGGACCACCGCGTGATCTCGATCCGGTCGGATCTACACGATATGACGGGTAATATTCCACCAAGGGAATAATAGCCGGGAGGGATTGTTTCACCAAGGAAACAACCGCTCGAATCTCGGGATCTAAGAACCAAGCTTAGATCCGGAGTGTGATCGTGTAGATCTCAAATCCAATCCTTTCGAACTCCTGCCTTATTTGGCGTTGGTGATCGCCGAGCACCGGATCTGAAAGTCCAAATCTCCAAGCCTTCAAAGTTGTGATCTTTTTTTTAAATCTGAATCTTCAATCCAGCAGGGCTTCGCCTCTCTCCAAAATTTCCAACCTCTGAAACAAATGAGCACAAGGCCTATTTATAGGCACTCAGAACTGTGCCCGCGCACAGTTCTGAGCCTAGCCACCCATGGGTGGCTCGGCCTTGGCCGAGCCACCTCAGGGTGGCTCGGCCTTGGCCGAGCCACCCTGGGGTGGCTCGGCTTTGGCCGAGCCACCTCAGGGTGGCTCGGCCTTGGCCGAGCCACCCTGGGGTGGCTCGGCTTTGGCCGAGCCACCTCAGGGTGGCTCGGCCTTGGCCGAGCCACCCTGGGGTGGCTCGGCTTTGGCCGAGCCACCTCAGGGTGGCTCGGCCGGGCCGAGCCACCCTGGGGTGGTTCGGTTTCGGCCGAGTCCCCGGGTGTTTGTCCGTTTCGTCCTTTGTTTCCGGTTCTGGTTCTCTTGTGTGGTTGATTGACTTGGCAACGACTTGTTGACTTGATTCCAGATATGGCAGTGAGTCGGGTTCCTGATATGGCAGTAAACCAACTTCTGAATTTGAGTCCGGAATTGATGTTGATTTGATCGTGATTCATCCGAGTTCGCTCTTGTTTAGATGACTCGGTGATTCACCTAAACATTGGTTTGATTCCGCGTGCGAGTGGATGCATTCCAATGCTTGGGTGCGATTTGTCGCCTCGTTAACCTGCTCCGTTGCGTAGCCCGGTGGTCCGTTTGTTAAATCAGCGTCGAGCTGTGCTAAGGGACCTATAGGCAATTTTATACGCCTACAGATACCCCCTCCAAAGTATTTCAGTCTCATTCTTTTATAGAAGAGTCTGGAATACTTTGGATGTGATTGCCCCAACCTTCAGTCGGTGTAACGGGACTCTGGAATGACTTCTGTTCTGGATTCCTTCAATTCCTTCAGGCTATTCAGTGCTTTGTAGAATGCCTGTAGGGGTTCCGGTGCTGCATTTATTGTCTGACCGTTGTTGGAATTTGAACTTGAAGTCGATTCTTGATTTCTTGACTTTTTGGCTCGAGTTTGCTGCTTCAACACAGAACTTATCATCGATTGACTGCGTTGAATCTTCATCTATAACGCGTTGTCTGGCGTTTGAGCTTCATTGCGACGCGTTGTCCGGCGTCCAGGCTTCATTATGATGCACTGTTCGGCATTTGACACAGTTTATACTCGTACGTCTGCTGGAGTACACACGGTTTAAGCTCTTAAGGAATTGGAGCATGGATCTTATCCCAAGGTCGTTGGATGCTCGAGTCACGAGACCAACTCATAAAGTTGATGCGTCAATGACTCGCATATTTATAGGATTTTTGGCAAATCCTCAGCCATCAACGGGTTTGATGCGCCTTTACCGACTACCGTTTGAGTCGGGCTAGCATGCGGATTGTTTTAAGTCCGTTCCGCATGTGACGTTATGCTAAAAGAGTTAACTCTTTTAGTGCTACGATATTGAATACGTAGACTTCGTCTTTCTCCTGTGAAAAGACTAAACAGCAACGTGTATCAGACGTTGACTTAGGATTTTTGGCAAATCCTCAGCCCTCAACGGATTTGTCATGCTTTTACCGATTACCGTTTGAATCGGGCTTACATGCGGATTGTCTTAAGTCCGTTCCGCATGTGACGTTGTGCTAAAGGAATGAACTCCCTTAGACTTGATGCTACGACTTCGAATACGTAGACTTCGTCTTTCTCACGGGAATAGACTACCCGGCGACGCGTGTTAGGCGCTGACTTTAGGATTTTTGGCTAACCCCAAGCCTTTAACGGATTTGATTAACCTTTACCGACTACCGTTTGAGTCGGGCTAGCATGCGAATTGTCTAAATCCGTTCCGCATGTAACGTTGTGCTTAGAGACTGAATCCTCTAAGACTTGTTGCTATGACTTTGAATACATAGACTTCGCCGTTGTCATGGGAATAGGCTACCCAGCAACGTGTATTAAACGTTGACTTATCCCTCCTTAGGCTTCGGGATAAAATACCCCAGAATCGAACTCTGGTGTCTTTTTCTACGGGGAAAGACTAAACCGGCGACGCGTGTTAGGCGTCGGCATATCCTTTCTTAGGATTCAGGATGAAATTCCCCATGCGTGTAAGGCATGGATTTTGGTGTTATTAATAACAACCTGTCACAATGTTGAATATGTGAACGGGTGTTCTTTTTAAACGGTTAAGAACTGACCGGCAGCGCGTGTCAGGCGCAGACTTATCCTTGCTTAGGTTTCAGGATAGAATACCCCAGAATCGAACTCTGGTGTCTTTTTGTGCAGAAAAAAGACTAAACCGGCAGCGCGTGTTAGGCGCAGACTTATCCCTGCTTAGGATTCGGGATAAACTTCCTAGGATGAATCCTGAATTCTTCGAAAAGGATTGGTATGGGGAAGGAAGAATTTTATATTCTATTCCCCGAACAAAGAAGGAAAGGAGACTCGAGGTGGGATCTCCACCCCCAGAATCCGGAAAGGTGAAACTAAGAGTGGGATCTCCACTCCGAGAATCAAAAAGATTCGGATAACCCTAACTGTCGGAAGGTTTGATTATCGAACTAAAGATGAATTTCTCGTTTATCGAGAATGAATCGTGGTTTTGGTCCTAACTGTAGGAAGGTTTGACCAAGTGGGAGGTTTGAGGTGACCCTAACTGTAGGAAGGTTTGATCACTCGATTTGAAAGTGGACCTCTCGTTCATTGGAGGAATCGAGAGGGGTTTTTGGTTTTGGTCCTAACTGTAGAAAGGTTTGACCGAATGGAAGGTTTAAGACGATCCTAACTGTAGGAAGGTTTGATCGCTTGATTTGTGGACCTCTCGTTCATTGGGAGAATCGAGAGGGGATTTTGACTGTGGTCCTAACTGTAAGAAGGTTTGACCAATCAGGAACTTTACGTCCAGACTCTAACAGAGAGAGTGTTGAGTGCACAGACACAGTGAGAACTTGAATGGGAGTCCTTATTCATTACATTGCTGTGGTTTTGGGAACTTCCCGTTACATAAATCGTCCACCCCCAGTTTCCTCTGCGGAACTGGTTCGGACATTATTATCAGTTAACTAACCGGGTTATCCTTAAGAA